TTGCTTATAATAGTATATTAGTATACGGAGGGAGAAAAAACAACGTTGTGATATACTGAACGGTCTTTACTTGCTCGAAATAGTTATATGTAATTAACAAAAGTGCAGCAATGGCTGATATAAATCGCATCGATAAACATATATATACGATATATATATATATTGTACACATTCGTGTATTGCATTATAGTAATCAACTCATCGCGATAATTGTGATTTTCGGCAAATCCAATAAGCGTGGTCGCGTACGAGTATATTATAACCAATCGTAAAATAAAACTATTTCCGCGCAGCGGCAACGTCATTAATTACATAATTATTATTATATACATTTTGCTTATATTATAATTTATTAGATGAATAAATCATTAATTTAAATTTTACTCATATCACTAGACGTTATTTTTGAAATTTCATCATTATTAATGTTTGAGTGAAATACCTAAATTAATTTTTAATAAAAAAAAAATGCACGCCTACGTTGGGACAGATAGGGAGTTAGTCGCAAATCGTGCTTTTGCACCTGCTCGAACACGCTTTTACTATAAGTGTTAATTTAGGTACGCGGTATTATCTCAGACTAAAAAATGCTTAATTCTTATAGTATAATAATATATGATCGGGACAAATTATCCCCTCAGAATAATATTGTAAAACGAACGAACCGGACAGTTTTTAATATAATAAAGGCAACTGCGTATAATATATTATTCTATATAATACAGAGTGTCCATGTATGATGATAATTATATCTACATTATATTCCGTACTGTATTAAATTATAATTTAATAAATCTCGACAGAGAATTTACACATATCTGCCTATATACGTGCAATCGTGTCATCCGTGTGCTTTTCGCAGGGAATACGATTATCGTGTGAACTCGGGTAGCGCAGCCGAGTGTCATATTATAATTATATAACGCACTGTTACATAGTAATACACACACACACATATATATAATATGCACGCCTATAGACACCGAACTGAGTATATCGATTTTCTTCGACGATTTCTCCGCTGACAAAACAACGACGTGTAGGTATACATATAATATTATTGTTTCTTCGAGCGGAATATTCGGTCTAATATATTATACAGTAGCTCGCGGTCAAAGTCGCGCTTTTCCGACCCTCCTCGCTATACTCAGTGCCATTTTCGATGCGTTTCGGCTTTGAATTCCTCTCTGCCCGTGATCGCCATCTGCATGCTGTATGCCTCGCAGCGGTATCTGCACACTGCAGGTGTAAGATTTCACCCGTAATATACACGCACAATATAATATAATATATTATTATTATAAATTATAACGGATCGCTCGCGTAATCCAAGATGCCTGGGCTTTATTATTATTGTATACTGCACCGGGGTCTTTGAAATTGAGTGTGACAAAAATATTGGCAGGGATCGCATTAGAACTTATCGTAAATCCGGGCTCTTTTGTCACACGAAATATAAAATATTCAGTATGCGCTTATACATTAACGTCGGTATACAATATGTATGATGATAATCATTCGATCGGCAAATAAAATATCGTACAATAATACTTATAGTTTATAATACACTCTAAAAACCATCTGAAAATTTAATCGGATAAACGTATTTCTATCGGTATATATAAATATTTTTTGTTTGTTAGTGCGTCATAATATTTAATAATTGCGCGGTACTTTCACTCTCATAACGTCATTAAAAATAGTCACCGAATCATCGGTGCTGCATACATTTTTGTTAACGATGCCAAACCCTGTAGAACATTTTCATTTCTTTTTTTCCTTTTAAACACAAGCTTTATACACAAGCAACGGCTTTAGCAATAACGTAATATTAACGCGAGATTTCGTAACACTGCAGAAATACATGTCGGAAACCTTTCTTTTTAATTAAACCATTATTTATTTTATTAAATGAAGATTAATAACACGACCTAAATTTAAAAAAAATGGTAATGATCAACAACGATACATAATATATACGTTTCTTCGGTTCCGGACGCTGCATATTACTCTGCCCCTCCTTTTCCTGTACAACAAACTCGAGCTTTATCATATAACATCGAGAAAGTTCACATACTAATTATTATTACTATTATCGGCGCGTGTGTTTGTGTTCACACATGTGACGCAATTATTTGTGTTTAGTGCCGGGCGGCGTGCAACGGAAAATGCGCGGGCGACTTAAGGGGGTCGGACCCTACTGTGTGTGTTCGCCAAAAAAGGTCGACGACCGTCCCGGGCGGCGGCGAGCAGTTATGATCCGACAGCTAAACTATAATGTATACACCGAACTCTCTCCGTCCATTTGCAACGTCCTTCTCCTCATCGCCCCCATCGCATCATTTTCCGCACGCACAAACAGTATTCTTTCATCTGACGACTATCACCCACATTAAATATAACGATACCTCGGTATATACATTATACCTTTATATATTATATTATATACCATGCGTACTTAGTCCAACTGTATATATAGTAGATATACATGTGTGTTTATAACTTTTCGCGACGGATTTAATTAAAACCGAAGGGTGTCCGCAATTATAATATAGATACGCATACAAACACAGAGTTTGCCGTGCATCTTAAGTCCACTCGTCCACACTACCCCGATTACAAGCTCAGTATACACACTGTTATATAATTGCTGTAGAACTATAGACACGAAGCCTATGGGTCGAAAGAAAATGTAGTCATTGATATTCTTCTACTCGCATGGCTCCATGTATTACACAGCGTAATAATATACACGTAAAACTCGTACTGTACGTCTGCCTCAGCGGACGCATTGTTGATTTTTTGCTGTAACGTTCTCCGCTCATAAGTAATAATATGATTGGAACTAAATATACCAAGTGATAAACGAATAAAGTTACAACATATTGTTATGACGACGAACTGCATTAAAACATATACGAGTAGTCACATTTATCAGGAAATATTAAAATTTCCGTTATTTTAAAATATAGGCGGGAATCCACTTTGAAGACATTTAAGTGTTATACAGGGATAATATAGTGATGAAGAAATAATGAGAATTTCATTAGAATATCAAAAAAAAATCAAATTATCATAAAACCGATAATGTATTTCTAATTCAACTGTTCAACAGTTTGAACTTTAAACTTATTAAATTACACTGTGTGTACCTAATAACATATTAAAATACATAATCTATATAGATAGAAAACAAATACCAACCGAATATAGTCAAGAAATTAAAACGATTAATTAAATAACAAAATTATTATGACTGATAAACTACACAAATTATTTTTAATTTACCATTTTTTGAGTTTAAACTTTAAAGTCGCTACACAATGTCATTTACTATTGATAATTAGTAGGCAAAAATAATGAAAGATCTGATCTGATCTGATAAAGACTGATCGTTGACTCTGTATAATAGTTCTATGAACACCAATAAAATCGCACCCGTCAAAATTATGATTATTATTTATTATAGTTTATTACTAATTTGCTTTATTATATAAAATAATATAATATATGTTCTCGTCTCTCACATGTATTCGTCAAATTTGAGTGATTACCCAATCATCTATATACTATACATATATGCATATAATCCAAAAGCTCGTTTCAACCGCCGCGGGTGTTATACCATATTATAAACCATTCTAACTGCAGAAGCTTGTAATAAATAAAAATTTAAAAAACGTACCTACAGGTCGTCGTGTAATGCGACTTTGTACACGTCGAGTACCCCCGGCAGCGCATGTTTGAATATTTAATAATATATTGTACACAATATCCTGCAGTCGGCTAGTTGTTTTATGATGATTGTGAATTATTGCTCGATGCACGGTCGGACTGAGACGATAATACGATAATAAATGCGTATTACTTCGCGGCCAGTTTCAAGAAACTCATTTCGGCAGGTTTTCCTGATTCCTATATAATATTTAGATAACCTACTTATTATGTATGTATGTGAGTATGCGTATCGTTATGTTATTTACGTAATTGAATGACTTTCGAGATCATTGGTCGTGTGACCTACAGAATAATAAATATAATATGAATAGGTATATATTATGAGCATTGTAATCGTCCTCGTCCGTCGAATTTGTACACATTTTTAATAGATTACAGTACCTATTATTTATTCATACATATATTAAACAAACATGCCTGTTTAATTTTGATTTTTTTAACTGGCCTTCAGTTAAATACTATAATATATTAAAATATATACTAACAAACAGATTAATAGTAAGGCTATGTTATGACTTATTATGGGTAGTAGGTACACTGAAAATACGTCATGTTAATATAGAAGTGTGATATATAGATATAGTTTGGTAAGCCGCAATTGCAGGATATGCTTTAATCAAACTATATCCTTCGAACATACGATGAAAAGACCAATACTGCGTTTATATGACGCCACATCTCGCTATTGTATATAGTACATAAATATAAGTAAATATTATTTAAGTATTATTTAATATATGTTGTGGAATTATATCTAATTTTATTATTTATATAGGTATGTATTTATATTCAATGTTATAAGTTAATGGTATATAATTTTCATATTATTCTAAGTTCGATGAGAGGTGGAGCTGTTTTACTAACAACACATATAGAAATTTGTAGCGACAAACTGTCAAAACGTATTTTAAGTATTAGTATTTTGTTGCTCCACGACCATGACAACACATATTATTATAATATTGAATATGCAAAATAAGAACGATAACTTAATTTTATTTTTTAATTTCAATAGTTGAACAAAATTAAGATTAACACAATGTAAAATAGTAAAAACGATTTATATAATATTAAATCCGTACATCGTACATCAGTATGTGACACTAATTACTGGATAAATACTTATGCGTGATTTTATATTATATATTTCATAATAATAATACAATTATTTTAAACATTTCTTATCCATTATACAGTTACTAGTAACTTTATAAAATATACATAATGAATATTAATATAATTTAATATAATATGGTATTTTATTATTTTAATATTATCAGTAAAAATCAAACAAATTTATTGCCCGCTGAAATTATTATATTATTAAATTGTTATTGTCTTCACGTTTTCCGGTACGTCATGCAAATATCGTTCAAACAGTTTGCTCCTGAAAAATAAATAATTGTTTTTGTTTAACGGTATTGACAGTTATTCGATGATTTGATAAAACATTATTCATTATTTGACCTCGGTGTACTGCTAGAAAAACAAATTATTTTTTCGTCTCGATCAAGAAAACCAGGAAGAAATACTGATTATAATATATTATAATCAAGATTGTAATGACCATTATTGTTTTTATAGAAATCACAATTATTATTATAATGATTAAATAAATTATCGACCCATATCACAACTATATATTTGACCTACTATGCGTTATTTTCATTTAAATTTAATTACGACGTATTTACACTAGCCATTTGTTCGTTTTGACATTTGCGAGCCTTTTTACTAAAGCACTTTAATTTATATACATGTCGTACACTCTCATATAAATCCTACGGTTTATCTTTTCAACAAAAATACACGTACAATAATTTAACACGGCAGTCTTATTTAAAAAAAAAACCACGCAAATATACCATTTACTGACATATCTGTCTCTCTGCTGGGCAATATAAAAGTTAAAACCAGCTCAATTTACTTATTCAATCAAAAGGGAAAGACTTATATCGAGGATTAATATAAAAATTTTAATATGTTTTCGATAATTTAATTATGAAGCCATGTGTTATACATATTTAGAATTGTGTATATTTATTAAGTTGATTTTTATAATGTTACTTGTATTAAATTTGTTTTAATATTAAAATATTAGTGAAAAATCCAGCGTACATTAAGTGCATTAAGTTACCTTTTAATATTCGAAGATGGGTGATTTTCACTTGAAGTCTATAAGATCCTTTGAGATCGAAATACGCGTAGCAAGGTTTTTTCTATACTAACATGTAAAATGTCGGTATGGCAATGGCTTTTTCTTAAATGCGTAAAGCGACGTTAGTATGGTTTTTTGTACATAGAATATGCACTATAGTACGTGCGCTTTAGTGAATAATATGATATTGTTCAAAAACCGTAAATAAACTATATAAATTCTCACGGATTTCGGCCGTCTCGTTTAATACAAGTATGTGTATGCATAATGTTTGTCAACACACACATACATGTATATAATATATGCATTAAAAGTTTCCTTAGGAGGGTATAAAGTGTACAAAAAACTTTTTTCCTATCAAATCCCGCCTTGGCCGAATCATAGTCAGGTTAATTAAAATAGTCATCGTTTGGATTAAAATCGAGCCATTTTGGCTGCCGGCCAATATAACCCTTTTGCGGTTTTCCCCGAGAGGATTGTCTATCCCCGCTCTCGCTTGCAGCACCTCCATTCAATAAGCAATCCCCCAATCTATCTTCACAATGGAACGCGGCGCTTATCGCAGAGGGTGTAGTAATCGTTATATGGTATCTGATACGTATATGCTATGCCATACTGTTGTATGTAAACGGTAATCACGTATAGCGAATTTTTATGTGGGGAGACTGGAAGAAATGTTGAGCCATAAAAAAGGGGTTAAATCGAAGGTGAAATCCATATTAGTGCTGCTGTGTAATATTATGTGAATATAAAAAAATCGCTTACGAACTGAAAAAAAATTTAAAAAGCTGATTACCTCAAGCGGACAAAAGAATTTCACGTTATTGTAATAACGATTCCAGTCCACGCCAATGGAGCCGTTGGGCGCACGCGGTATTATGCATCGTATGTCTCCGCAAGTGAGAGAAATAAATTGATATTGTGAGAGAGAGGAAATCAGAGTAAAAGAGAGAGAGAATGAGGGAGAGGGAGCGTGATTGAGTTTTAAGCCAAAAATCACAACGATCAGAACACAATCTACAATTCATTTTTGAATATTGTATCGTCTCTTGACTCTTATATTATCATACTATGAGACATAGAGTAGTCTGCATAGAAATTGTTCGTTAATGTTATTACTATGTTTCACAAGTTCAATTTTGTAACCAGTAATTAATTTATCATGATAATCGAGTCGGTACAACAACAAATAATAAAATTACAAGTAAAAGTGTAATATACGAGTATTATAAAATACGATGGCGTGTGTATTTGCGGCCTCTATATAAAAGTATAAAACGGGCCGGTTTTCATAACACATAGGTAATCGGGTCGATGGTACATACTTTTATACTATACATGTATATCCTACACGACGGGCACACAGGCATAAAAAAAAAATTGTAATCTTTATTTTTAATGTCCAGTATTTCGTGAACAATCGTAAAAGGGACCTTTCCAAATAATATTACACTCACGCCAACTCGTTTTAACTATTTAGTGCTGTTATTATAGTTATACAATACGTGTTTATTACAGCAAGACGCATCGTATAACGTTAGAAAATAAAATAGATCATTCCATTCGAAATTATGTCATTTATTTTGTATAGTAGTTTCAGTAAGTAGTAGTTTAAATGGACGGAACACAAAATTACGTCAAATTGTCGTCGAACAAAGAGACGGTATGACATTTGTGTGGGTCATTACACGAAGATAAATGAATATTTTTAAAAATTCCCCTCGTCCTAAAACCATATTGCACAATAGACCGTACGGGATGCCCCCCGAAGATTTACTAATTCTAATAATTAAGGACCAAATGGGCTGCTTTTGAATTCTATACAGGGTGATTTACTAAGGTTGCCGATGTTTTTAATGGCAGCACAATAGTATACAAAGTATATGTATGCATCCTTTATGCGACGACCATTTTGGATTTAGTAACTTTAACGAATCGCCGTGCGTCGAATAATTGCTGTATCTCGCAGCTTATACATCGCACGGGGGTCGCTATATACAAGTAGGTTTTTATTACAATTTCACATCCGCCCGAGTTCATATAAATACATCTATTATAATATTGTTGTTACGATTCTGCAGTAATGTTTGTATAGATTACAGATAGTATAATATACACAGAATAATTTTCTACCATTATCTATACATATACGTACGCGTATAGCAATAATAATAACCTCACTATGAATTTAAATCATTGACTAAAAATTATCATAATATTTAGTTAATTTATTTCACCGGTAACATTTTTGAACATGTGCATTGTATGAGTTGAAAAATATTTTAAAATAAGCCTTATTATACCTCGTTTTGAAAATGTATACTCTATGTAAATGACGTCGATGAACATACATATTGTAAAATGCACAGTGTATATGTATATTACATTAAATGTTCCTTCGTAGGTGGCCTCTGAAATGAATTGAAAGTTTGGCGTTTCACGTACCAGCTGACTGCACTCACATAGTCACATAATATGAAACAAACAAAAAGTATAAAAATAAAAATACAATGAAACACATTTTATACATTTTATACATATATATTCAACAATTAGGCTTTATACAAGTTTTGATGTTTATTTAGTGCGTAAAGCAGAGCGTAAATGTATAATTTATTCAATCCTAAACTTTGAATTGAAGGTTGGTAAGACTGCAAGTTTGTTTTAAGAGTGGGTATACCTTATAAATGTTAACTGTTTGTTTATTGTAATAATGATTTTCAAAACTTTCATCGATGATAATTTTACAACATGTTATAATAATTATATAAACGAATTAGAATGTATTACAAGGAAAACTTTTAACTTACAAATAATAATATAATATTTCGCTGTCAACGTATATTTGTATCACATTTAAATCGCGACGGTGGAAATGTCGGTTTTGACACTAATTAATTAGTCGGTTGACTCGAATGATTTACGTATATTAATACTTGGGCATCGGATCGGAAAACACGAGCTTAGAATCATAAATGAGATGTGTCATCGTAAAACACCCTCCAAGCCGTATGATTTCAACCGAAGAGGGTGAATTATTAAGATATAATATGCGATTTTCAACGGGTAACAGGCGACGAATAACTATAGTAATAATAATAATAATAATAATATTTCTGTTAGTATAGCGAGTAAAAATATGTAATTATGTAAGTACATTTAAAATTAAAACATTTTCAAACAGTTCCATTCTACGTACAAATGGTAATTGTATTTTAAACCAATCTATATTTAGTAATTAAAATACACAATGTATAAATATATTTATTCACACATACTGTAATGTCCCCTATGAATTGGCGAGCATTACATACAAGGATATGTCATCTCCACATGTTCTTACAACTTTTTTCCAATAAATATTTTTGAAAATAATTATATTATAAATTCATAACTTATAATCCATTTTTATACAATTGTTATTACACGTGCATGATAATAACATTACGCGTATCATACAGACGTCGTTTTGAATGATTACCTATAAATCGAACGCATCTCACTGTTCTCAGTTCTTGTTGGGATTCAATTATTATAGAAGTTTCGATAAATTGGTTACTTTAGGTGACCGAATACATCTGCTGCAGCGATAAAATACTATTATATATGTATATATATTCGTGTATGATGCGAACGATTTCGCAGCTGACGCGTCTGAAACAAGTATATAATATACGAAATACTTTTATACGACTCGAAAATCACTATATGCAATTCGAGTTATTTTTATTGTCAGGACACTGGATATCAGGCTTGTGTATGTTAATGGCACAAAGTGCATTTATTATATAAAATTATCTACATAAATAATAAATACGCCTCATACACGCCACAGCAAAAACTGAAGATATTTTTTACTCCTTTTTCGGTTGGACGTCTTAAACATTATTTCTAAAAACAAATTCTTACCGAATGCGACCGTCTACTAGACAGTAATAAAATGTCCGTGCCGACGGCGGCGGCGTGCACGTGTATATTATTTTATACTTACAGGTGTACGGAAAAATATCCACGTCGACGGAACGTCGATATCGTAACGCGCGGCTTCGGCACAAAACACTATAATAGTGTATAGGTACTTAAATGTTACACACACACGTGTGTGCTCGTGCAGAGTGTGAACAATAATATCATATTATATGTTATACGCGCGTATACGTTGTATAGAGAATAATGTGTACAGCGCAGCTATATATTTCGCACGCCTTCGTCATTGGATTGCGATTTCTTCGCTTCATATATACACATTTTGTATTTTGTGTCGGCCCGGCGCGCGCACCACAATGGAACAATATAATAACGATAATATAATAACATAAAACGAGCATGCGACCAAGGTATATACATACGGTATAATCGGATCGTAGTGCGTTTATAATATATAGATACACTGAATGGAGACGGGTAGATATATCATATAATATATTATATAGTTAAATGATGTAAATAATATATATATATATATATATATATATATGAATTTGTGTGTGTGTACCTTACGTAGTGTATGTATTGTACAGTGTACGCATAAACGAACGATGTGAGAGACGACCCGTTGGCAATAGGGTGCGTGATCAGCAGTAGCTCTGTGTGGATGCGTGCGTTCGGGTATTGTTAAAAGGCTGCAAGGCATACTCGCGAGGCGACGTTAAAAGCTCTGCGGAAAGAGAAATCGGTTATTAATTATTTACGTGTCGTTTACCGAACGTGCCCGTTTTCACGTCTCCAACCCTATACGTATAATATCATGCAGTCGTTTTATCAGAGGGTGGTGATTATAATACATCAGTCAGCATTGTCGTCGTCGCTTCGGTCTGTACAGTTGGAGGGTGATGGAGACAATAATAAATAGTCCAAAGGATGATGGCGACGGTCAACCATTTCTTCCGGTCACAAAGGAATCCAATAACGCATCGTTGTATTACCGCCGCGTAGGTTCAAACCTATGAACGTAAGACGATGATGCAAGTACACTTCGATCGCTGTTACGATCTAGTATAATATAATGCAATAATGTCTATGTATGCAACAGTAATGGACTGGAGACGGAATGCACGGAATATATACAATATATATAGTACATTATCCGCCGTTAATGCGCGAAAAATAATAAGGGAAAAGTTTAAATTATACGAATGTAATTCTCTTGTCCGCCATTATTTATAATATTAAAAATCTACGATTTCAATACGAAATAATGGAGATATGCGGCTTAAATTTAATTGGTTCGTATAAATTGCAATACAGCGATGGCGTTCTTTTATTATTTTTTTTAAACTGTTTATTTTTAAAAATATAAGATAAAAATATATATTACATTAAACATAAAGAAGCATCTACAACAATACACCGGATCCCAAAAATTCTTAACGGTTTGCTGAATTTCCGAAGAATCTCTTTAACCTAAAAAGTTTATTGAGTTTCATTTCGTTTAGTTCAAATTATTATGAAAAAAATAAAACATATTTTCAATTATTTTCCATCGTATTGTGATTTACTGTGTGGGCAAGTACCTACATACAATTTATAATATATTTAAAATTTAAACAAACAAAATTAATGAAACTCATATGAGTCTAATAAAAACATATTTTTAATATAATTGAATTCCATCATTATCGTTCATTCACTCACGCGACAGCTTTACAACAAATTATAGCTTGTATTAGTTTTTACTTTTCGTGCTAATAATCCCATTTTTCACGATTATATTCAAAACATTTAATTGTTTTTAAGCTCAACATGATTTTACAAGTGTACTTGTTATAAAGAAATATTTTCGGAATAACGTTTATCTATCACAACAGCGTGACACAGAATAAGTTGATTCAAATAAAATCTGTTTGTTTCCAATAACCCGCAACGCGGTAACAATGTTACTATAATTAAATATTATTATTGTATCTGTGATTTATATACAAAATACACAAGTACAGTGATTCTTAAAAGGAATCTATAAATCATTTTTTCATTTTTCAAAGAAATCATATTGTTTTTTAAACAGTTATATAATATGTGCAATAAATTACAATACATTAATACATGTTAAAACGAATAACACAAATCAATGGAATATGACATTAAAAATATTTGGTATAAGTAGAGAAAAAAATGTTAAAAATAAAACAAATAAGAAATGGGTTAAAAAACATTATAAAATGCGATATTACAGGTACATTAAAAACAAAAATTAAAACTAAGTAAATGTCTCGATGAATAATTGATAGTGAAGATAAAAATAAAATTATACGTAAACTTAAAACAATATTATAATAACTAAAAAAAACCCAAAAGGTTTATACATAATAAAAATAATTAATAATAAGTTAACGATTCGCAGCTACAAAATACCTACGACTATTTAATGAATTATTATATTTAGCATATTATTATGTATTTATATAATCATATAATTTTATCCTCTATTACCGTTAACTGTGAAATATATCTTGACGCGATATGATATGGGTACCTATAATTAATAAATACAAATAAATAGTTTACTTGAATCATTTTATTTGAAAATTTGCCTCTCACGTTTCATTAAAAAGTTACAATTAACAATAAAATATATCAAGGTAGGCAAACATATTGATTGCTACTTGTGTTTGAGTACTATCTTTCGTTTTTTTCAGAAAACAGGTAATGTTAAAGCAATAATTGTAATAAAATATATTAAAATTCGTGTTGTGTTAAACTATGTAAATATACGTTATTATATTACTGATTAAAATTAATCATATTCTAAATAAAAAAAATAAAAAAAGTATAACACGAATGTAAAAATATATTTTTGTTTAATGAGTTTTTTTTTTTTTTGTTGACCGCGAGATCTATCGTAAATTTATTAAAATTGACCATTCCTGAAATTTATAACTTACAATAATCGTATCAATACCTGACCAAATTCAGCATAGATAAGTTATGAAATTTGACACCTTTTATATCCCGAGGGAGTTGCGGAATTGGTTATTATTTGGAATCAGATATTTTAAAAAGTGAGTTGAATAATTATTTCCTGTATAAGTATAAATTTGAAATTCACCCAACTTTGGGTGGAGCTATTTCCGGCATAAGATATGTATTCGTGTATGCACATTTTCATTATCATTTTAACATGCTTAGGAATGATAATACCAGAAGTAAAGTAGTTATTGTCAAAACTGTGTATTCCACCGAATTAATCTCTGGAACCAATCCGGTATTACCCGTTTCCATTGAAGTCTATAGACATCAATTGACACGATGGAAATCAATACACAGATAGTACTGAATTTTTGTAAAAATTTAGAATATTTTTTTTTTAAATTAAATTAATACTTATTTTACGGTGCAAGCCCTTATACAATATAAAATAGTAATTTCAACAACCAAATAAACAATGTACAATATTTCGTTTAAATCAATTGGTGATAAGTATAATAATAATATGAACGTATATAAATAATGAGTTATTAGTCTAAAAATATATAAAGAGCTTTCTTCTTAGAACATTCGCGGGACATAAAAAAATAAGTTGACATCATTTCAAATTGAATTACATGACAAAAGCGATTTTGGGAAAAATGAATCGGTAGATATGTTTCTCATTTAAGAGTAGGTACAAAGAATAAATTTAAATTTCTAACAGAATAATTGTGAGTATAAATACCAATAATTGCACTTAATAAATGAAAACGTTCATTATTGTTATTAATTATGACCGTTGTAGTTCATATTGTGACGTCATGGCATATAGTGTGGTGTACGAAAAAATACACATCTTTAACAGGTAGGTATAACACCCACCTGCGGAAGATAATAATATTATCATAAAATATCATTGCTAGTAATGGGGGTATTATAATATGTATGTGCGCGCGTCATCTGGGCACGGTGTACGTACCGTTAAAATAACGTTATCACGCCACGCGGTTATGATTTATTGCCGGGTTATAAAAACGCATTTTTCGGCTTCGTAGACTTTTTATCATATTTTATATCTAATGCCCACGTCATATGTGTACATAGCCGCGGCACGTTATCGTTCACCGCGAGCCACATAATATCCGATTGTGCAACCGGATAGGTTTTATTATTATAATAATAACACTGATACGAGCAAATGTAAGACATACCATGCACTCGAAATGCATATTATTATACTCGGATAACGACATTGTGCGCATAAAATGTAATATATTATTATTACTTCGAGTATAATATTACACGCGTAAAAGTTTAAGCAGCCACAACACTGCAACGTATTATATATAATAATACGTATATAGTATGTAGCTTGACGCGTATGCCCTATAGTATTGTGGGATTGTTTTCTTTAAAGTTATAATATGCAAACTTACGTACATCCAAAATCGTAACAAGTGGCAAACATGGAGAATGGAGGTTGTGAGACCCTTAAACTCCGTCCCTCAAAATTACTATGAAAAATATCGCCACGTCTCATCGCCTTCTTTTTACAATCGTTGGACGTCGAGGACAACTTGTCAATGGTATTGTGTATTTTGATATGGGTTTCAGAACTGACCAAACTATTTCGATCGACTCAAATTTACGGTGATAAAGATGTAAACGCAAAACATGCTTGTTTTATTGTTTGACAAAATACCTCTTCAATACATTTATCATACAATAGTTTAATTCCATGAACTATGTCCATATGTTGAGCTATATTCATTGGATTTTCAATAACTTCCCTTTTATCTATAACTTATAAGACACTTAATAACATCCGCTTTTATTGTTGCACTAGTTAGAGCTTTATAAAGTCGTACTCAATAGTCCATAATAAAACGCAACATTATCTTTTATACATGCGACTACCATTCTTTTAAATACGTATTTTAATACGTCACTATTCATTTCACCAAAGTAATCTTTTGTGTTCTTTTCAATTCAAAGCCCAAAAGACCACCTTGCACGAAATCGTATTTATTTGCAATATGGATAACAAATAATAACGTTTGCTTCTATCACTGTGATTAGTTGGACTGGTTTCAAAAACCTTTATAGCAAATTTTCCACTATTACCCATTTTTCGTCCATATAATAAATTTGATGCCTTCACTTCGGTATTATTCTTTATGATCTCCAGGTAGTTTTTACTCCATATAATAAATAACATTATTTTCAATCATGGTAGACTATTATGGCTACGTCTCACACAAGATTA